AACATTGTAAACTGGGAAGGGAATGAGAAGTGAGCCCTGTAGGGGGGCACAGAGGCAGCAAGTGGACACATTAGTACTAGAAAAATTCTTCAAGAGATTAAGCTGTAAAGTGAGAATACGATCCCAGGAGAAGCTTCGGGAGACAATGAGGCGTTGAAGCTGCTTCATTGTCAGGCCCCTTGTCTGATCCAGGACTTCCATAGGCCTTTGGGGCCTTGAGTCCTGGCTTGTCTTTTTATCATCACTCCCCAGCTTGTTTTGTTGCAGCCGCTGTGTATTAGATCCCTACTGTAGCAATGTGGTCCCCTGTCCATGAGTGTGGGCCAAGTATTTTGAAGGTCACTTCCCCACAGACTTCTTGTTTATAACAATTGTGTCTGTATAGGATTGAATTCCTGCTGCACTTATGATCTGTCGGGTCAGTTGCCCGAGTGAGTTGGTTTGTGCTCATTCCGTATCTACCCCATCCCTCTTTACCCACCCGACTCAGCCAATGATAATTGCAATCCCATGAGGGGAAGCCTTCCCAATTGCCCGGGTCCCTGCATTCCTCTTTAGTTTGATCATCAATGAAGCAGAGTAATCTACCATAGCGGGCATCTACCATGTCAAATTTAAGGGAAACAGTGTTACATAAAGAAAGTGGGCGCATAGCAGAGCTAAGGAGCTTGAGGTCTCGATTTCTATTATTAATCTTCCACATTTCAAATCTGTAGGAACACGGTGGGTAGGTGCAGTGGGGAATGGCTGAGGTAGGGTTCATGGGGAAGAATAGAAGTAGGGTCAGTAGAAAACTCATTCCTGGACTGGTGTTAAGGGAGGGGTCCTTGAGATTTTCAATTTAAGAGGCCTGATACTAGTGGCCTGGTACTTGCTATGTTCCTTGGCCAGTTTTAATTTGGAGAGATGAATCCAACTAGGTTGCCCCGAGAGCTTGGCTGCTGTTGGGGTAGACAGGTAGACAGGTGAGGACCAGTCCAACCCAGCTGAAGGGTTTCCTTCATTCCTTTATGTTGGGTGTGAACCCTTAGGTAGGTGTGATCTCCTAGTTGAAGTGGGTGGTCAGTTTGGCCTTTAGAAGCCTGAGGAATAATCCGGTCAGCATTTTCCTGAGTAGTTTCCTTAGAAGGGTGAAGGCAGGTAAATAGTCATGTAGAGGAGAGGGATGCTGGAGTAAGAGATTGTTAAGAAGGAATGGTCTTCTATACATAAATTCGAAACGACTGAGGAAAGAAGGAGCCCTTGGGATGGCTCTCAGTTTAGTAAGGGCAAGGGGCAGAAGAGTCACCCAGGATTGGTGTAACTCTGAGGAGAGTTTAGTAAGGTGGTCCTTAAGAAGGGAATTAGCTCATTCCACCTTCCCTGAGGATTGAGGGTGGTAGGGGATGTGTAACCTCCAGGTTCTTCCCAGGGACTGAGAGACTGCCTGAGTTACTTTGGAGATAAAGCCTGGACCATTATCTGATTGGAGAGTGAGGGGAAGACTGAAACAAGGAAGAATGTTTTGCATTAAACAGCCACTATATCTGCTGTTTCACCTGTTGTGGGAAAAGCTTCTACCTGTCCCGAAAATGTGTCTACCCAAACCAGGAGATACTTAAAAGTTTTTTGTGAGTAGGCATGTGAGTAAAGTATCTGCCAGTTGACTCCCGGGAGGGCCCCCAAGTGCTGGTGAGGTTTGACAGAGGTGGGTGGCTTCCGCCCTGCAAGGAAACAACAGCACAGGTAGAGCATTGCCTGGTGACTTCTGTGAGAAGCACAAAAAGTTGGGGGCAATAGTTGAGGGGCTCCAGGAACTTGTAGAGCGGATGGATGAGCACCTACGTGAAAAAGATTATGTAAATGGGTTAAGATAGAGGAGGCTTGTCCTTCAGGCAGGCAATACTTGTCTGATAGAAGCAACCATCCCTCTGGCCCCTTTGCCAAGGAGCTTTCTGCATTGTTGGGCAGGGTAGGAGGGGGACATTCCTGTTGGCACCAAGAAATGTAAACCAATGCCTCTAGCTATGGGATCGGTGAGAAGCTGATGCCCCCCACAGTGGCTCACAGCTTTAGATGGGAGGTCGGAAACTTCCAGGAGTCTAAGAATCAAAGGGCCATTAGTTATGGAGGTTCCCTTGGTTGTTAGGAGACCCCTTTCCTTCCATACCAAGGTGTGGTGATGGAGTATGTGGAAGGCATACTTAGAATTTGTAAAAATATTAATCGTCTGTCCCTTGCTAAAATCAGAGCCCTGGTGAGTTCCACAAGTTCAGCTTTTTGTGACATGGTTCCAAGTGGCAGGGGATAACATCTCTGAGAGACACTACGGCATACCCCGCCCTGCAGGACCCAGTTGGGGTGAGAGTTGAACTTCCATCCACAAACCAAGTCAGGGTTGGGTTTGGTAGGGGATCTGGGGAGATTAGGGGATCCCGGTAAGAAGAGTTCCTGAAGAGTTTCCAAGCACAAGTGAGTGAGCAGTTCACTGGAAGGGAGGAGGGAAGCTAGATTAAGAGGAGGGCAGGAATCAAGGGTGAGTGAGGGGTTTTCAAGAAACATGACATGGAAGAGTTGCAGTTTAGAGTGAGCTAGATTGGCAAGAGACATGTGGGTTAGTAAATCCTTAAGCCAGTGGAGGAAAAGGATGGCGATGGGCTGACCCAAAGTGAGCTTCAGTTCCTCCAGAGCCAAAAGAGCAGCAGCAGCCAGAGTACAGAGACAAGGTGCCACCACCAGATGGTAGTATCAAGCTGTTTAAAGAGATAAGCTACCAGGGTAAAAGTAGGACCCCTCATCTCTCCCCAAACCCCTAATGCCTGGCCCTTATTCTCAGTTGTATAGAGGAAGAATGGACATTCCAGGTTGGGGAGAGCCAGAGCTGGTGCCTTTAAGAGTGCTTCCTGGATAGTGTGTAATGCTGCTGTAATGCTCACCGGGCTCAGGGGAGTTCGCTTTAGAAGCTTCATAGAGCAGCTTTGCCAAGAGGGCAAAATTAGGAATCCAGGTGTCCAGGTACCCTGCAGTGCCTAGGAAAGACAATTTCCTAGGCCCTGTTATGGAGAGGGGGCTGCTGTGGATCGAAACCCTAACAGATGATGTGGGTGTCTGCAGAGGCCAGTGGAAGGCATTGGACCTCCTGGAGCTGCAATTACAGGCTCACTATGTAGACCAAGCTGACCTTGAACCGCCTGCCTCTGCCTCCTAAGTGCTGAGATTAAAGGCTTGTGCCACCATGTCCAGCTAAATTTTTCATTCTTGTTATTAGTGTATAGAAATGCTACTGATTTTGTCGATTTTTATAACTTGTAACTTTACTAAATTTATTTTAACAGGTCTTTTTTGGGGTGTCTGTGTGTGTGTGTGTGTGTGTGTGTGTGTGTGTAGGGGTATATTCTTTAGAGTTTTTCAGATGTACTGTATTGTGCATGCAAACAAAGACACAACTTTTTCCTTTTCAATTTGGATGTTTGGACTGAAAAATATGGGAACAATAAATTGTTTCTGTTCAAGCAGATGAAAAATTATTTCAAAATCAAATGAATAATGAATCGGAAGTGTTTAGTCAGTCTTGCTTGTATTACATGGCATTATGCTACACAGCACCAGTGAATGCCTGAAATACCTCAGCTCAAATTTGAGACAATTATACATTATGATTACAGTGTTGCTACTGTATATAAAATGTTTTCTAATCTTATCAAATAATACTAGATTAATTATGGAAAACAAGGACTTTTAATATTTTCCTGCCGCCATCCTTCGGCATGTATCAAAATAGTATATATTTGGATGATATTGTATGTTTCATTTTAAAAACTGTTGTTGACTTGAGTTCCATAACGTCTGAAATTATTTTTACTTTGGTATTTGGACGGATTTTTCCAACAATTTTTAGTGACCCTAAACATTTCTGCTATTTTCTACTATGAATTCTTTTATATACCTATGGTCACATAAAGCTTTCTCAAGAAAAAAAGTGATCACAAGTGTAAGAAGTTTAAGAAGCCTTAAGCTCAACAAACAGAAAGAACCAGGCATCTCCACTATAGAAGCAAACCAGGTGCTTAGAATTGTCACTTTACAGTACCAAGGAAATAGTTCTCCCATTTTCTTTTAACAAAGACAAAGTGTTCATTGCATTCTCAGTAATATGTTTAAAAGAAAAAAATTTAATTGTTCTACAAATTCCAAGTTTTGGTTAGCCAAAAAGACAATAATAAGGTTTTCTGGGTTTTAATATTCAGGAACACAGCCGGGCGTGGTGGTGCACACCTTTAATCCCAGCACTCAGGAGGCAGAGGCAGGCCGATCTCTGTGAGGCCGAGTCTAACCTGGTCTGCATAGCAAGTTCCAGGCCAGCTGGGGCTACAGGGAGAACTTGTCTCAAAAAGACCAAAAAAAAAAAAAAAATCAGGAATACTTCGTGGCATGTTAAAAATAAGACTTATCAGACTGGAGAGATGGCTCAGCACTTAAGAGCACTCACTGCTCTTCAGAGGACCCAGACTCAGTTCCCAGCACCCACATGGCTGCTAACACCAGCGATAACCTGAGTTCCGAGGAATTCCAGCCCTCTTCTGGCTTCCCTGGGTACCAAGCACACACATGGTACACCTACATACATGCAGGCAAAATGTTCATACACATAAAATTAAATTAAATTTAAAAAAAAAGACTAATAACTTGATTTACAAAAAGAATTTGTGATAATCATAGCTACAGTTATGATGTTACACCCCTTTAAACTAGGCGTATTAAAGATAAGTAACTCATCCAATTCTCTAAATAAATAGAAAATAGAATAGCCAAACATTAATTGTGTCATAATTCTAGTTGATTTTCAATAATCTTGTTTGTTCTTGGGTTTGGGCCATTATTGCTTAGAGCTTAAATTGACACTATGTATTGCTCCTTGAGCAATAAAAATAGCTTCTAGTTTGCCAAAAATTCTATAAATGTTCTGCTTTCAAAGGGCTAATTTATTATGTTGCTTCAGAGTTTCCTTTTTGCATTTCTAGAAAAGGAAATGTTGTAGTGGATATCTCTGGGACCGGTGACCCTTCTTCTTTCTGCACTGTCATGCGAAGTGATGGAACTTCTCTTTATGCAACCAGGTCTGTAGCTTCTTCAGTGTTCTGTGAACATTGGAGTGTGTGTGTGATTTCATGTTCTTTGTCCTAAGATTGACTCAAGATAATAATTTTTATCCCCAAACTGTTATTTGATACTAATTGCAAGTTATAAATCTATTGCTTCTGTATTTTAAGAATATTTATTGGGATTCTATTTGTCCCCAGTTACAACTTCCAGAAAGATTTAATATAATCAGAAAAGTGGGAAACTACATTGTGTTCACTATCACTAGGCACAGTGCATATCTTTAGTCCCAGCACTTAGGAGGCAGAGGCAGATAGATCTCTGTGAGATCAAGGCCAACCTGGTTTACATAGTGAATTCCAGGCCAGCTGGGGCTACAGGGAGATACTGTCTCCAAACAACAACAACAACAACACCAAAAAACCTATACAATATTATAAGCTGTTCAGAGCAGAATACATTGTTCTGTGGCCTTCATAATTGTTTATTAAATGTTTTTACAATTGTACATTTTCAGGAAATATCTTCTAAAAGATGATCACATTAATGTTCAGTGGTGATCTCACACATTAAAGACCATTTTATGTACTTACAAATGCCAGACCTCATTATGATTGTGGAAAGATAGGCATCTCCATGTCTTACCCTATGGAGCACTCACTGTTCATCTGTGAGCTACATTTACTAAACACATTATTTCTGGAATGAAGCCAATAGAAACAGTGAAACAAACACACAGTCATACCCAGTCACTGCTGGCAAAAGGCTCTAGTGTCACCCAGGCCTGAATTTTTTGGGGGGTTGGGGGAGTTTTGAAACAGGGTCTACCTATAGTCCCAGCTGTCCTACATACAAGAACTCACAGAGATCTGCCTGCCTCTACCTCCCAAGTGCTGGGACTACAAGCATGGACTACCATGCCTGGCCTCTTTTTGAATAATTTAAGTAGTCTTGGTTCTAAGTCTTTTTGAAGGTCTGGTAAAATTCTGCTGTGAATCAATCTGATCCTGAGATTTTTTCAGTCAGGAAGCTTTGCATTATAGTTTCAATTTCCCTGTTATAGGTTTATTTAAGCTGTTGATATTGTCTTGATTTAACTTTGTTAGTTTCAGTAAATTTAGAAATTCATTCTTTTATTTATTTTTAATTTAATCTTAAATATTTTTATTTTATGTGTATGCATGTATTGCCTGCATGTAGCTAAGTGCACCTGTGTCGTGCAATGCCCGTGGAGGACAGAAGAGGCTGTTGGATCCCCTGGAACTGGAGTTATAGACAGTTGTTAGCTGCCGTGTGGGTGCTGGGATTCAAACCTGGGTCTTCTGCAAGAACAGTCAGTGTTTTTAACCTCTGAGCCATCTCTCCAGAGCCCAGATTCATTCTTTCAGATTTTCAAATTTAATAGAGTATAAATTTTAAAAATATCCCTTATAACATTCTGTATCTTTTTTGTGTCTGTTGTGATATATCCCCTTTCATCTCCAATTTTGTTAATTTGGGTTTGCTCTTTCTTTTTTTCTTTCTTTTGGTTAACTGACTAGGAGTTTGTCTGTTTTATCTTTTCAAAGAATCAGCTCTTAGATTCATTGATTCTTTGCATTGTTCTCTTTGTTTCTATTTTATAGATTTCTGCTTTGAATTTTGTTATTTCTTCTCAGCTGCTGGGTTTCAGTTTGGTTCGTTCTTGCCTTTCCATAGTCTTGAGTTGTACCATTAAGTCATTTATTTGTGCTCTTTCTGTTTTGTTTTGTTTTGTAAATTTTTTACTGAATTTTTGTGTATGTCATACAGAATATTTTAATCATCCTTATACTCCCTTCCCCATTGGCACCCGCCCCCACTGGAATTCATGCAGTCTGTCTTTTGTGTTAAGGCCTGTCATGTCACCTTGTGTCCCCAGCATCCCTCAGGGCAAGTTCATCCACTGAGGTGTAGAGTCACACCCTTTAAGATCAGCTCTTCCTTACCCAGCAGTAATCAGCTGACAATAATTCTTTGACTAAGAGTGGGTCCTGCTGCCTGTTTTCATAGTTCTTTGCTGGGGTTTTGTCTGCTTGAGTTTGCATGGTTTTTGTGCATGCTGACACCATTGCTGTAGGTTCTGTAGGTGCATAGAGCTGGAAGCTTCCCTCTTAGGACTGTTCTTAATGTGTCCCAGAGGTTTTGTTGTATTGTATTATCATTTTCATTTAGTTCCAGGAATATTTTTATTTCTTTCTTGATTTCTTCTTTGACCCATTCATCATTCAGTAGTGTGTTTTTCATATAGTTGGTAGAGCTTCTTTTGATGTTGATTTTAAGTTTTATTGTATTGTGGTCTGATAGAATGCATGGAATTACTCCAGATTTTTGTGGGGTTTTGTTTTGTTTTTGTTTGGGTTTTGTTTTTTGGATTTTTTTCTTTTTTTTTTGGTTTATTTTGTGCCCCAGTATGTGGTCAGTTTTAGAGAAACTATCATGGGCTGCTGAGTAGAATGTGTATTCTTTGGTACTTGAGTCAAATATTCTGGAGATGTCTGTTAGGTCCATTTGATGTATGATGACATTTAATTCAAGTGTTTCTCTGTTTATTCTTTGTCAAATTGATCTGTCTTTTTGGGGAGAGTGAGGTATTGAAGTCACTTACTATTACTGAGTTGGGGTTAATCTGTGTCTTGAAGTTCTATAGTACTGTTTTTATGAAACTGGGTGCACCAGCATTTGGTGCATGTATGTTCATGATTGTAATGTCTTCTTGCAGTTGTTCCCTTAATCAAAATGAAATGACCTTTATCTCTTCTGATTAATTTTAACTTGAAGTTTCTTTATCTGATGTTAGAATTGTAGCACCTTGTTTCTTAGTGCCATTTGCTTGATTAATTTTTTTCCATCCTTTCACCCTAAAGTGGTGTGTAGTCTTAAAGGTGAGATGAGTTTCTTGTGACAACAAAAAGATGGATTTTGTATCTTAATCCATTTAACTAGTCTGTGTCTTTTTACTGAGAAGCTTAGGCCATTGATATTTAAATTTATAATTGAAAGATATATATTGGTTACTGTCATTTTATTTCCTGTTTGTGTTCTTGATCCTATTTTGTCCTATAATTATACCTTTGTTTTCTGTCTGTAGCCTCTTGGGTATGGTCATTCCTTTCTTTAGTCCTTTGTTCTGCTTCTAGTGTTCTCTGTAGGGTTTGGTGGACATGAATTCTTTCAGCCTGTTTGTATATGGAAGATTTTTCTTTTCCCTTAAACTATGATAGGGAATTTTGCTGGGTAAAGTATTCTGTCTTGGCATCTATGATCATTTAGAACTTGGAATACTTTGCCCCAAGTTATGCTCTTCTGGCTTTCATAGCTTGCATTGAAAAGTCAGCTGTAATTCTGATGGGTTTTCCTTTAACTTTTCTCTTGCAGCTTTCAGTATTCTCTCTTTGTTGTGTTCACTTACTGTTTTTACTATGGACGTGCCATGGGGAGTTTCTCTTGTCCTAGCCATTTGGTATTTTTGTATGCTTTTTGAATCTATATGGGTATGTCTTTCCTTAATTTAGGGAAATTTTCTTTATAATCCTGTTGAAGATCTGATCTATGCCATTAACCTGAGATTCTTCTCTTTCCTCTATGACTATGATGCATTAATTTGGTCTTTTCATGGTGTTCCATATTTTCTGCATTTTCCATTCCTATGTTTTTAATTTTTTTTCATATTCTTTGCTTGAACAGTTTAATTCTTCAACTTTTATCATCCAGTCTTGATATTCTGCTTTCCATTTCATCCATTCTGTTGATGAGGCTTTTTCATGTCATTTCAAATTGGTTTATTGAGTTTTTTTCAGTTCCATCTTCATTTCAGCCTGAGTTTTCTTCAATTTTTCTGTCATGAATTCACTTTTCAAATCTTAAATTGCCTTTCTTTTCACTCACCTATATATTTGTACTTTCTGAGCTTCTGTCAGAAATTTATTCCTATCCTCTGAATTGTTTGAGTTGTATATTCTTTAAATTTGTTGAATTCTTTGATCATATTTATGATTGTTTTAAATTCTGTGTCTTGGGATTTCTCTAGGGAGTTCTCATTGGTCTGTGCTTCAGGTTTTCTCTTGATTTTTTTTTTTTTTTTTTTTTTTTTTTTTTTTTTTTCTTCATTTAAGAGACTGGATCCATCCAGTCAGGCTAGTAAGGAGCTTTCTTGGAGGATGAAGCACTCTAGGCCCATGTCTGGATGGTGAGGATCAGGTGGGCCAGTCCTAACTAGCTCAGCATGGAAATTGTGAGCCCTGGAGCAGAGCAACTAGGGCTGGTCCCAAAACAGGGGAATGGTGATTGGGCCTGGTGGGATCTGGCTAATTCATCTACCTAGTCAGGTGCTCTCAGACAGCTTCAGCAGGAAGGGACCAAGGCCCAAAGAGGGCAGATGGGAACAGAATGGGCTGGTTCTTACTGGCTAGCAGAGATATGAGCCCTGGAGCAACAGAAATGGGTCTGGTGCCAAGGCAGGGGAATGGTGACCCAGCTGGCAGGATCTGGCTAAGCTAGTCAGCTGTTTTCCAGCAGCATCAGAAGGGAAGGGGCCAAGGCCCAAGGAGAACCAATGGAACAGGATAGGCCAGTTCTTACTATGTAGCAGAGAAGGAATGAACTCTGGAGCTGTGGGACTGGGATTTTTATTACTTTTTATTATGTGTATGTGTGTATATTTGTGCAGACCACAGAGGCCAGAAGTGTTGGATCCCCTTGGAGCTGGAGTTACAGAACTTTGTGAGCTGCTTGATGTGGGTGCTGGGAACCATACTCATTGATGACAACCCAACTTGCAGTACATACTCTTAACCATTGAGCCATCTCTTAGGTCCCTCACAAAGTACTTTTATAGTAAAATGCCAACTACAATCATTATTGCAAAGAACTTGAAAGAACCAATTAATTTTCTTAATGCCCCTTAGAGAACTTATCTCTATTACTTTTTGACATTTCTCTTTATCAGTTTCTTGCAATTGAAATTGAGAAAAATCTATGTCAATGAGGCACACACACACACACACGAAAACTATTTTTGTGCCAGCTATAGAAATTTATCTTTTCACCAGTAGTTATAAAGATTTCCATTCAGAACAGAAGCTCCATGTCAAAAAGATTACAACTATCTAAATGTGTGTTTTTTTATGATCTAGATTTCTCAGCACCTATGCTGCTACACTTGGGAAAAGGAGTATTGTCTTAGAACAGAAGCTTTATGATAAAAATTCCCCACTTCTATCCTGATTTTTATCTAACGACTTGTGGGTCTTAAAAGTTATGGCTTTTGAGCAATCAGGATTTTGAGTCTCTGATAATCATAGGCTATGTAGAAGCTACTTCTTTAGCAGTTTTATCACTTATATTGTAATTATGTTCTTTGGGATAATGTATTACAGAAAAGTAACAACTAGTGGTTCTGTTCAGTAGTCTCAGCTTAGTTAATTAAAAAACACTTACCCAAAGCTATTTTGCTTTTTAAATGATTACTTGCTCTAGAACTTTTGCTTATTTATTTTTGGTGTTTTTTAAAATTATTTTTCCCAGGGCATTTATTATTGTTTTTTTCCAAGCCTAATTTTGTTATTTCGTACACAAGTTGCTGGTGTGGTGTGGTGTGGTGTGGTTTTGCATGCCTTAATCCCAGCACTCCTGAGGCAGAGGCAGACAAAAAACAAAAAAACAAAACAGTGTGTTGGGACTATACAAGCAATTCATATACTCCAGCTTATAGAATAATTTGGTTTGGTTTGGTTTGGTCTTTTTTGAGACAAAGTCTCCCTGTAGCCCCAGCTGGCCTGAAACTCACTATGTAGATCAGGCTGGCCTGGAGCTCACAGAGATCTACCTGCCTTCTGCCTCCCAGGTGCTGGGATTAAAGGCATGTGCCACCATGCCCAGCCTAGCATAATAGAGTTTTAAAAATACAAAACTCACTTTGGGGCTGGAGAAATAGCTCAGCAGTTAAGGTACTGGTTGCTCCTCCAGAGGACACTGATTCAGTTCCCAGCACCTACATGGCAACTAACAACCATCAGTAACTCCAGTCCCAGGGGATCCAATGTCCTCTTCTGACCTCCAAGGGCATTTTATGACATGGGTACACTTACATGCGGGCAAAACACTCATAATACATAAAAATAAATATAGCTTTTAGACTCTCACTGTTAAAAATAGGTAAAAGTGATTATAAATGCTGCCCCCCCACCTGTGCTTTTTCCTCCCCCCTAGGGATCTTGCAGCTGCAATAGATCGCATGGACAAGTATAATTTTGATACAATGATTTATGTGGTAAGTACTCAAAATAAAACATAAAAGTTTATAACCCCTATCTCATGAAAACTATAGAAATAGTAAACTAGGAGGCTGGAGAGATGGCTCAGCAGTTAAGAGTACTGGCTGTTCTTGCAGAAGACCCGGGTTTGATACCCAGCACCTACATGGCAGCTAAACTGTCTGTAACTCCAGTTCCAGGGGATCCAATGCCCTTTTCTGACCTCCATGGACACTGTACAACACAGGTGCACTCACCCACATGCAGGCATTACACTTATACACATAAAACAAAAATAATAAATAAAATTTTTTTTAAAAAAAAAGACATATTAAACTAGGACCCATGAGATATCTTGGTTTTCCTATGTACTGTTGTGGGTTCTCCTCAGGCCAGCTGTGAAGACCCTAACCTGGATCGGGTCCCTGCCGATTAGGGGGTAACGAAGTGCGGAGTCGCAACACACAGACCCCGGGAGTCGGGTAGAAGCAAGCACTAGGCGAGGTGCTGCAGCCTCGTTTAATGCAGGAGGAGGCACACCTTATATCTCCCTTTTCTCCACCCCCAAGTCCCTTTAGTCAGCGTATCATTTTCTGATTGGTCCGCACCGTGCAGTCTGTCAGCAGTCACTGGTCTCACAAGGAGGGTACAGAGGCATGGGCTCCTTTTGGTGGGCTATTTGCGGACCAAGAAGTGAAGTGAATTCTCACTGAATCCCAGGGCTCTGGGTCCGCGCCATCTTTGGAGGCCTCCTGCTACAATGCACTTTTGTGTGGGTTGGTTTTATGAAATTTTATTACATGTATAATTTGTGTAACCATCATTATATTCATAATACAGAACTGTTTATTACAAACCAACCCCCCTTGTGATTACCCACTTCATAATCATACATTCTCTCAAACCCTAGTCTTGCTATCCATCACAAATTTTGTCACTTTGAAAGTGTTAAATAAATGGGATCACAGAGTATGTGACTTTCTGAAATTGGCTTTTTCACCCAGCATAGTGAATTCCCTTGAGATCCATTCAATCCCATTGTATCACTAGTTTGTTCCCTTTATTGTTACTGATATTCTAGTCTCTTCTCTGCCTTCTTTCCTTTGCATGTGCAGCCTCCCTTTATACTAAGAAAGTTACCATCAAACATCTTTTTCAAGCTTAACTTTAATCTTCGTGAGACAGAGCTCATAATAGCTGAGAGAAAAGGAAATGAAATAAAGCATTCCAAAGATGAAAGTCCATATTTCCTCCTGTTTTAGAGTATTGCAGCTCTTATTTTCCCATTCAGCATGTTCTTTAGTATGTTTGTTTTAAAAGATTTAATTGTCTATTTATATATAGAGGTGAGAGAGAGAGAGAGAGAGAGAGAGAGAGAGAGAGAGAGAGAGAGAGAATGAGAGAATGAGAATGTGTATGCTCATGTGCATGCAAGTACCTGCAGAGGCCAAGAGAGTTAGATCCCTTGGAATTGGGGTCACGGGGATGTGAAACTCTGGATTGGGATGCTGGGAACTGAACTTGGGTCCTGTAGAAGAGGAGTAAGCACTCGTAACCACTGAGCCATCTCTTCATCCCCTAATGTGTTTATTTAAAATATATTGACTGCCAATGACTTTAGTCTAACAAAACTGTTAATTTAAATCTAGCCTATTTTTGTTGCTATTGCTTTGTTTTGCTTAAATTTTAACAACTTTTCCTCCAAGACAGATAAAGGGCAGCAAAAGCATTTTCAGCAAGTGTTCCAAATGCTGAAGATGATGGGATATGAATGGGCGGAAAGGTAATGTTTAAATGCTTCTTAGTTGCCTACCCAAGGTCACTAATGCTTTAAGTCAACCAAGCCTTGAAACATAACTAGAAAGATTTACATTTAGTTCTTTTTATCAAGATATTAGTGTGAAAAAGAAAGTTTGATTTTTGTATTATGTCCCAATAAATGTGTTTATTAGATATCTACTCTGTTTTGATTTTCAAAGTTATTAATCCCCATTTCTGCTTCCTCATAAAGGGAACTGGTAATTTAATTACATACTAGCAATTATCTCAGTAAAGTACTGGGATTAAAGGCATGGTGACATATGCTTTTAATCCCAGCACCTGGGAGGCAGAGGCAGGCATATCTATGAGTTCAAGGCCAGCCTGGTCTACATATTGAGTTCATAAATAAATAAATAAATAAATAAATAAATAAATAAATAGAAACTTTAGTGGACTGCAACAAATCATATCTAACTTATTTTTCTGGTTTTTATTACCATATATTAGTTATGTATAATAGTGGGCTTCATTATGATATCTTCATACATATATAAGGTATTTTTGGTCATATTTACTGTTATCCTCCTATTCCATTCCTGCTCCCACTCCTTTGATCCTCCTTTCCTTCCCCAGTAGTCTCCTTTCTACTTTCATGTCTTTTAATTTATTTATTGACTTATTTCTTTATTGGTGAACTAGTGAGTTGAATTAGGATTGTTGTCAGGAGCATGATTGAGGGGTTACTGACAGGAGCTTGCACAGCTTTTCAGGGCTGTAGTACTCAAGAAAATGGTCTCTCCCTCCATCAGCAACCATTAACTACCTATAAATCCTCAGAGAGGACTGAGGCCTCCATGTAGAATGTTGATGGGCTTAGTCTTGTGCAGGTGATCACAGCTTTGTGAATTCATAAGTACATTGTCCCTATGGTGCCTGGAAGACAGTGTTCCACACCATTCCCTATTTCTTCTGGCTCTTACAATCTTTCTTTCCCCTGTTCTGCAATGTTCCCTGATCTCTAGAGGGCCTAATACAGATTTCAGGTTTAGGGGTAAGCATTCAACAGTCATTCTGCAGTAACTGCTACCTATTGGATAAAGAAGCTTCTCTGATCAAAACTGACAACAGCACTAGTTTATGGGCATAAATATAGACATTTAGAAAGTAATCTCACAACATAGCCATTTAGCAAAAGAACAGTAGTGGCTTCCTCACTAAGGCTTAAAACCTCCAAGCCATGGGCCTTTGACCAAATTTATCTTACTAGGTATGAATTCACTCCTGTGGAATTGGCCTTAAGTCCAGTCAGAAAGCAGTTATTTACTCCCATAACAGTCGTGCCACTATTGTACCAATGGGCACATCTTGCTTAGCAAGTCAGTAGTATTGCACATAAGGTCCATAGCTAAGTTAGACTATTGATGACTCTTCTCCAACAGCCTACATAGCACCTTCTGGCATCATGAAAGCTAGTCATCAGGAAGGCAACCTTCAGCTCAGTTTCAGCTTGAGTTCTCTATGTCCTGTAACCAAAGGATGTTATGGCCTCAGCAATAGGGTCTTACCAGCTAGTACTGATGGGCAACCAAGAGCAGTGGTAGTAGCTTATATTTTAGGGGTCCGAGGAACTTCCCTCATAAGGAGGTAGCCCACCCTATCACTGGGTTTTTCATCTAATATACTTGTGGCTTCTGGGAGCAGCTTTATCCATCCATACAGAGTACCTCCATTCAAACATTTAAAAATTACTTTATTTTATAACTATTTTACAAAATTAGTTTTCCTTATTGCTTTTTCTTACAGCCTTAGTTTTGTCTCAGCTAACATCTTCTCTTCCCCCTTTCCTTGAACCCCATCTCCTCTTAAACCTTTCCACCTCCAGATTCTCCCTTCCACTTCTATACCACATCTGTTATACTATTCCTGCCCCATCCCAAGCTTCTCATGGGTCCCTTTTTACTTTCCTGGCCTCTACACACACAGACTCCCACATAACATACATATGTATAAACTGGAAGTTAGTAGAGAATGACATGGGCAGTGTTTGCTTTTCTGAGCCTAGGCTCCCCCACTTAATATAATATACTAGATATCTGCATGTAGAAGACTGAAACTACATTATTATCTCTTACCTGCATAAAAATTGACTCCAAATGGATCATTGACCTTAACATAAGACCTGAAATTGTGAAACTGCTAGAGGAAAAAAGTAGGTAAAACATTTCAAGATATAGACAAATGTAAGGACTTTCAGAATAGGACTCCAGTCACTCAGGAAATGAACAACATTCAACTATTGGAACCTCATAAAATTAAAAGGTATGCTTACCAGAAAGGAAACAGTTAATTGATTAAAGAACTGTACTAAATGGGAGAAATTTTCTTCATCCAAACATCTGACAGGGGATAAATATCTTGAATGTATAAAACAACTCACAAAACTAAAAAAGGAAACAACTCTGTCAAAAAATGAGCTAAGAAAGTGAACAGAGAAGTCTCTAAAGAATAATACAAATGGTGGTACATGCCTTTAATCCCAGCACTAGGGAGGCAGAAGTAGGCGTATCTCTGGGTCTGTGGCTAGCGTGGTCCACATAATGAGTTCCACGCCAGCCAGGGATACATAGAGACGTTGTATCTTACCCAAATCAGACTGGCTGCTATCAGGAAAATAAATGACCACAAGTGCTGGTAAGGATGTAGGAAAGGGAAAAATTAATCTACTCTTGGTGGAAGTATAAACTGATGCAGCTACTGTATGGAGTTATAGAGGTTTCTCATGAAAATTAAACATGGAACCATCATATGTTCCAGCTGTACCACCCCAGGGCATGTACCCAAAAGATTCTGTATCCTGCCACAAAGATACCTGCACGTCTGTGCTCATTGATGCACTGATCACAGTAGCAAAGAAATGTAATCAGCCTAGATGTCCATCAAATGATTAATGAGTAGTGAAAATATGGTACATATATACAATGGAATTTTGACTATTAAAAACGGAATTTGCAGGAAAATGGATGGAACATATTTTTGTTTTGTTATTGTTTGAAGCAGGGTCTCATGTAGCCCAAACTGGCTTGAACTGTGTACTTTGAACTCCTAACTATCCTGCCTCCATCTTCAGTTGCTGGTAATGCAGCATGTGCACCATGCCTGGCTACATTGCATTTATTTTAGTAAGTTTTTAAAGGCTACTACAAGATTTGAGGGTCAAATTAAGCTCTGGAAGGGTAATGTAGTTTACTCACGTCATTGGCACCCTTTACCTTTTGGTTAACAAATGCCCATCCATTTCAGGTGCCTGCATGTACCTTTTGGAATAGTGAAGGGAATGAAGACTCGAAGAGGGGACGTCACTTTTCTGGAAGATGTCTTAAATGAGATTCAATCAAGAATGCTAAAAAACATGGCTTCCATTAAGAGTAAATCCACTTTCTTATTGTTAAAGTCATGTTCTACATGCCATTGTCACGTGTATGTGTATGCATATTGTTCATGTGTATATGAGTGCTCATGAACATGTACACATATTTTTGTTGAGGCCAAAGGTATTCTCTGGCCCTTTTTTCCTTTTTTTTTTTTTTTTTTTTCTTTTTTTTTTTCCTTTTTTTTTTTTTTTTTTTGAGACAAGATCTCACTATAACTCAGGCAGTCTTTAACCTTATTCTCTGGCACTGTCTTCCTTTTTTTCTTTTTTTTTTTTCTTTTTTTTTTTCCTGGCTTGGAAGTCACCAAGTAGGCAAGGCTGGCTGGCCAGTATGTACCAAGATCTGCCTGCTTCTGTCTTCCTAGCACTGGGTTTGCAAGCACAAAGCACCATGTTCAGCTCTCTTTACATAGGTTCTGGGTTTCATACTCAGGTCCTTATCCTTATAAGGCAAGCACTTTCCCACCTGAGCTATTGTCCCACTCCAACTCCTATTGTAAATTGGATCCAAGTTACCCTTGAAAAAATAAGTATCAGCTATGTCCAATATCTTACTAGGGATATTTGTAAAACTAAATTCATGTTTCTTCACTGTAAAGTGAGTGGGGGAGATGTAACTGTCAAGTACACTTAGAGCAAAAATTTTTTAACCACTTTGATTCATTTTTCTTGCACTATATAGTGCAGGTTGAAAATACCTGCCTTTATTTCAGCAACGAAGAAACTGATGAACCCACAGGAGACTGCAGAGAGGGTTGGGCTGGCAGCTCTCATCATTCAGGTCTGTAAAGACTCCTTCCTCTAAAACTTTTTTGTCTGGTATTTTTGGGGGTCTTTTTGAGATAGGGTCTCCCTGCAGCCCTTGCTGGCCTGGAACTTGCTATTTGGATCTGGTAGCCTCCATCATATAGAGATCGCCTGCCCTTGCCTCTGCCTTCCAAGGGCTGGGATTAAAGGCATGCACCACTGCTCCTGGCTTGTCTGGTATTTGAGCAAAAGCCAGTGATAAAGATTACTCTCATTTTAGGACTTCAAAGGCTTACTCTTATCTGACTATGAGTTCAGCTGGGATCGTGTTTTCCAGAGTCGTGGGGACACTGGAGTCTTTCTACAGTACACCCATGCCCGCCTCCACAGGTAAGAGGCTGCAGTAAAGCTTGTCTCTGTCCTTCCCTGGGCTGGGATCTGCCTGGTGTGGTTCTCAGACCAGTGACAAGCCCTATTTTCTGGGCTCTTCCAGTATCTCCTATTCAAGACTGGTTAAAGCACAGCAGCCCTCTTACTGTTAAGTATTCATTAAGCACCAGTACAAGAAACACTTTCTTATATATTGCCTTTCTTCATCCTCAGAATAACTTTGCCAAAGAATACCCTGTCGCCTACATTTTAGACACACTGAAACAAATTTAGGGAAATTGAGAATCTAAGTCAGTGTTATTGTCAAAGTCTAGGGCTATAGATTGAGAGGAAGTCTATATGCTCAGAGATAATACTTATCACATGCAACTTTGAGCCCCTAGATAACTGATCTTTTCGTGTTTGTAACTTTAAACTTTGGTAACAGTTTGGAAGAGACTTTTGGATGTGGTTATCTGAATGACTTCAACATTGCTTGCTTACGAGAGCCACAATCTCTTTTAATTCTCCAGCATCTTCTCAGGTATGGTTTTCTGGTAGCATCAGGGTTTTTTCTTTTAACTGAATTGACTGGTTTTTTGGTCCTGCCTCTAAACAGTTACTGGGGGGAAACAGATTAAGCCAATGTTCAAGGTCGACCCTAGTCTCCAAAATATCGCCACAAAGTAGCAGAGATGCCTAGCACACTCTAGCCCATTATCTAGGAAGATGACCCCGAACAAGAGCATGACCCTTTGGTTTTAGAAAAGAGCATCTTCTATGCATCTGATGAAGGAAGGAAAATCCCTGCCTTTGTGCAGCTTCCAAGAGGCGGGAAATCCTTCACTTGCCTTGTGGTTTCAGCTTACAATCTCATATATATTTGTCCACCTACATGGGCAGAGACCACACCTTATAGACTTGTCAACAGACTGGTCTGTAGAAGAGATCAGTGAACTAGAAAGTGGCTATGTGTCTATGAAGGCAGTTTTCTTTGCCACACAGTAGTCACTAGTTCTTTCTTAAGATTAGAAAATTTTATTCAACATAGAGCTGGTTTGTGAGAGAAAATAAACCTTCCTGATCTCCTTAGCCTTGAGGGTAGAGTTCACTAGTTTAACAGTCATGATTTAAATTTTTGTTCTGGACTAGGCCTAAAAGGTAAAATATGATTTAGGAAGTCTTCTGCTGTCGAGGAATTCATATGAAAGAAAAATGGGCATTTGCTGTCAAGTGTATTCAGGTCTTTTTTTCATATTCCCTCTGCTCTTACTGATGTCAAATCTAGGTATTAAACATCTTAATGCCTTAGCTTAATATAATGTATGACCAGTCTGTTTCTGCCACTGTTACTGTCATCTCTCTTTTAGGTTCGATGAGGTACTTTATAGATCATCTCAGGATCTTCAACCTAGGCACATTGTTAGTTACCTTTTAACTAAAAAAAAAAAAAAAAAAAAAAAAAAAAAACCTCCGTAATGTTTCTTTCATTTAAAGGTTTCTTGTAAATAAATCTCTTGCCCTAAAAATTTATGTTTATTCTTTAAGTTGTAGGAATTATTACTTCTTTGCCAGTTAGCAAATCATGTTGTTTATTCAGTACTCTAAGGTAGAATCATAGGAACAGACAGTAATAGAAGTGGTGACAACACAGTGCCATTTGTGTTGTGGAGGAATGGACAGAAGACTTGATGTTTGCTCAGCCCAGCTCTGAGACGCAGAGAAACAGCAGGTGTTAATCAGGAGAAGCAGGAAGCTAAGGAGGAAAAAGCCCAGAGTTGAGCATGAACTACAGTCATAACGGGGTGAGGGGTGAGAAAAGTTAAGTTCAGACTATTTGGCCCTACAGACCTTTCAGGGCAGTGTCTAGGGCCAAAGATCTAGACTAGACCTATCCCTATCTCTGATTCCTCAGACTTAAATAAGATTTTTTTCTTTATATTCTACTTATACATGTATAAGAGGTAAAGCCAGAAAGTCTAATGAAATGTCACTCATTAAACAAATTAAACAGATTTCTTGTGCATTTCTTTGGCCCACTGCTACCATACCTTAACAGAAAAGGTTACAATTCAGTGTCTGTATGTACTACACTGATAAATAGTCCCTGTCTCACCTCCTCAGTTGACACAGGGGAAAAGGTTTTGCCATGTTATGCTTTTAAAAGTTGTCTATTAAGCAAATACCAATTGTTAGAAAACTTGCCATTTGGTAAAAGCAGGACTAAAATCTAAAGTGAGTTTAGTGTTTTACTGTTATACATAAGCAGCACATTTGTCTCAACTTTTATAACTTCAGGTATCTCCTTTAGTGATTCTAGGCTTTTTCTTTAGTGTTGGATTAGAAAGCAAACTCATGTAACAGGAAGTTACTACTGGTCCTTATATTTCTTTCTTCCTGTTTCAGTCATCTTGCAGCTGTGGCACACAAAACCCTCCAAATAAAAGACAGTCCTACTGAAGTGGCTGGGGTATGTAATGTTAAATGCCCTCTACATGATCCCTTGGCGGCTCAAACTAATACTAAAAAACATTAGTAGTTAGTAACAGTCTCATTAATTTTTCTTAAATAACTTCTGTTGTTTAACCATAGCAGTATACTTTCTGACTCAGCTAATAAAGGAGAATTGGGCTATAACAATGAATGCATTTTCCTCCATCACATGTTTGAGGGACATTCTGTCGCTCCCACTCCACAGTCTTCTGCAAGGGATGCTAAAATATATTTCCCCATGCCTAGAGTACTCCAAGGTATTCTCAAGTAGTTTTCCTACTTTAAATCTGAATTAGTGCTAAAATCATTCTTTTTTGCTTACTTCTGACATGTTATTATTGAACATTTCATCATTCTTTATTTTTTAGGCCAGACTTCATCTTTTCAAAGCTGTCCGTTCTGTCCTAGCCAATGGAATGAAACTTCTTGGAATAACCCCTGTATGTAGGATGTGATTTCTAATTAAAGTTGTTTTAAAAAATACTGAATGAGAGCTTGTTTGGTGATTCTAGCAGGGGAGCACACCTGCTCAAATACTCTTGAGTGAAGACTGGTTCTCCTTTATCGGGGAAGGTCATGCTCTTCAGCAGAGCATGCAGCTTTGGGAGGGATGCACTTGGAGTGTTGAGGGAGGAAGGGGACACCCGCCTAGCCAGCCAGATCAGCCAAATCAACCTTGGTGATCAGTGGAGTGACAGATGTCATAGCCAGATTGCCCTCACATCCTTAGAAATACTAAATGAAGCTGGGCATGGTGGCACACGCCTTTAATCCCAGCACTCAGGAGGCAGAGGCAGGCGGATCTCTGTGAGTTCAAGGCCAGCCTGGTTTACATAGTGAGTTGAGGTCAGCTGGGACTACAGGGAAACCCGGTCTCAAAAAGACAAAAAAAAAAGAAAGAAATACTAAATGAATCTTAGTCGTGTACAGGTGCTTTACTGTTCAGAATACTATTTAAACTATTATTCTATGTTAGAAAATTGATTTTATTAAGTATAAGTAACATTAATTTACTTTTTACTCTTAAAAAAAATCATGTGAGTTCTCTCTTGGTCAGTAGGTAATAAACACTAAAAAACTTTTGAAATTGAAAACCCTGTTGGTCTAATGGGACAAAGGACTAAAATTTAAACTATGACTTGAGGTTTCTTACTGTGTCATTTCTTCCAGAAAGGGGACTGGAGGAGGTGTTTCATATGGATGGCAGAGGACAATTTTTGGGAGTTGGTTCTCCCTTCACTGTGGGTTCCAGTGATCAAACTTAGTGTTTCACACTTATACACACAAGCACTTTTACCCACTGAGTCATCTCATTCGCTGTAGAAACTGTTTTGTTTTGTTTTTTTCTTTTTGAGACAGAGTCTTACTATGAGCCCAGGCTGGCCTGGAACTCACTATGTAGACCAGGGTGGCCTTGAAACTACAAAGATCTGCCTGAGGCTGTGTGGGGTCTCTCCCTCCCCTCGTGGGTTGTTGGCCACCGATCCACGAGGACAAAGGGAGCAGAAACAACGAACCGGTTCAGGACGGCCAGTGAGCACGATGGAAAAAACTTTACAGGGAGGCAGATTCAGTGATACAGCTCCGTTTATTCAGTGGGGATTAGGGAAAATATAGTGTGGAGGCAGCAGCCAAAGCTTCAGCTGATAGGTGTTCATTGTATGCTTTATTTACATGTGGTAGGGGGATACTATCATCTGACTATAGGGCAATGTCTAATTATCATATAGAAAAAACCTGGGGGCAGTTTTATTGCAGGTAACTATGCCAAAGGTCATGTTCCAAATAAGGTCAGGCATCCGTGCTTGGTGGTACTTTCCAGGTAAGTCAGGCAGAGAGCAGGAGGCCCCGCTGAGAAAGGGAGTCCTTCCATATAGCGCAGAGCCCCTTATAGCTATCCGGACATGGAGGACTACAACTATAGCAGCAGGGTCCCCCAACAAGGCTGCCTCCTGAGTGCTAGAATTAAAGGTGTGTGCCACCACACCCAGCAAAATCTATTCTTATAACTGAAATAATAAAATGTTTTCATCAAATAATTAGTAAAGGGAGATTTCCTAATTTTAGTTTGATTGCAGCTAGTTCTTAGAACTAATATAAGGAGACAAAAAGTAAGCATCTCAGGGGCTGGAGCAATGGCTCGGTCATTAAGAGAACTGGCTGTTCTTGCACAAGATCTGGGTTCAAATCCTAGCATCTACATGGCAACTAACAACTGTCTGTAACTCCAGTTCCTGAGGATCCAACACCCTCTTTTGTTCTCCATGGGCACTGCATGACATGGGTGTGCTTACATACCTGCAGACATAATATTCATATACCATAAAATAAAAATAAATAAAATTAGCGTTTCTTTAGCAATATAAACAGCAAGTACTTACAGTAAGAACTTTACCTCATGCTTTAGTTGAAATACACTGATAACTTGCTATGTGAGGTCAGGAACTAAATACATTTGAATAGCATGGAATTACTTGTATAGATATCTTATTCAGATTTTAAAAATTTTTTTATTTATTTTATTTTATGTGTATGTGTGTATTGCCTGCATGTAGGTAAGTGCACCCATGTCATGCAGTGCCCACAGAGGACAGAAGAGGCTGTCGGAGCTCCTCGAACTGGAGTTTCAGACAGTTGTTAGCTGCCATGTGTGCTGGGATTCGAACCCAGGTCTTCTGCGAGAATAGTCAGTGTTCTTAACTGCTGACCCATCTCTCCAGCCCCTATTAGGATTTTTTAAGAAAATAAGTATGGGCCAATAACTAAACCCTAATTTAAGGTAGAATTTTGGCTTCCATGTATGTACATATTGGCAAGGTTCAATCTTTCTGACTTGATTCAATAATGTGAGCTTGATTAGGTCACAATGAGTAGGCTGGTTATGTTTGGTAAGTGGGACCACTTCTGCCAGCATTCTACTCGGGTCCCATACATTTATTCTAGATGTTAGTAATACACGTCTAATGAGAAGAAAACCAGCAAAATTAGCTTCTCAATGGAATAGACACTAAGCAGGTGTGGTCTGCCTTCTTAGTTGTGTAAAGTACTCATCCATGTAGTCACAGTTTTCAGTGACTTGCTCATTTTCTACCTAAAGTAGCATTAAGCTTCCTTAGCATAAACTCACCGTGGAATGAAAACATACAGTTGGGACATGTTTTACATGTCTACTACCCCTCTCTATAGAAACTTTCTACTAAGACCATGAGTAAGTCAGTTGTGAATGAGGTTATGCAGGGCCCAAGTCTTCACAAAAACAGCTCTTTGATGACTTTATAGACATACACAGGTGCCAAGGATCCTAATGCAACCAATTATGACTGGTAATAATCAGATACATACAGATTAGAGAAGCATGTGCCAACATCTCAGTGTTATTAGCAAAAACAGTGAGTCTGTAAGAAACAATATATTTTAAAATGAAATGCAGATCTTTTTTGAAGGTTAAAATCTCACTCAGTGTTATGTCTTACAAGGCTTATACTGAGTTCAATATTGCATAACTATTCATTCAACAGTGAACCTGAAAATTTTATAGCCACTTTTGAAAGAGATGTATCTTTACTCTGGAAACTGTTATTGAGTATGTTAAAGCTGTAATGAAGTGCTTCTTCTAAAAAAATTTTTTTAAATATTAAAAAAAGCTCTGCTTCCCTGGGCTTGCAGGACCCGCCAGCCTCTCTCTGACCCACAGGCTCTCTCCGGGGTAAGTCCATCGTGCCCTCTGCGACTTGACTCCCCCAGCCTCATTCACCCTCCCATCTCCACTGCTGGTCTCTCCTCCTAGTTTGGGTCCTGTCCCATTCCTTGTCTTGGGGCCACAGACACCTGGGGAACCAGTACTGCTTCTTGATCCTTTTCATCCAGACCAACTCAGTGCCTTTTGTGGTAACCAAGAGCACTGCTTCTGGGCCTGGCCCCGCCCTCACCTCCCTCTGCTTCCCTGGATCTGCACCACCCTCCAGCCTCTTTCCAGGACGTGAGGACTGACCTTTCCTCTTCCTGATCCTTTGCATCCAGACCATCTATCTGCCTTTGCATCTCTGGGTGGCATGGCCACCAGCTGCCCTAGACGAGCATCTTTCCTGGGCCCGACTCCCAGTCTAACACCCAAATTCCTGAGGCCAAAATCTATCCTGGAGGGATCCAGACCTTAGGAGAAGCCCTGAGAGCATCTGATCCTCATCTGATTTGGGCCTCTGTGGGAACTCCTGAAGACAGAAGCAATCTGGCCACTCCAATATAAAAACAAAAGAGAGAACCCAAGCTTAGAGGAATGAGCTTTTCATGCCCCAAAAGCAAAACACAAAGACACATAAAGTTTACAAAAAGAAACAGACCTTAAACTTGACGGCTTGAGTCTCACACAAGAATCGGAAACTACAAAAGAAATTCACATGTCAAAATCACAGAGAAAATAATAATAACATGAAAAACCGAAATAACATATCCCCACTAAATACCAATAGTCCTCTAGAGAGTACAATGAGAACTCCCTAGAGATAATGCAGGACATGGAACTCAAAAGAACAATTATAAACATGATAAAAGAATTCAGTGA